AAATTGTTATCTCAAAAAGTAAATGTTATTATAAGAAGAGGTATTTTTCATTAAAAAGCTTATAATCCTTTTTATAATTGGTGATAATTTCATAACGATTTATTAAAAACTGTATTTGTGACGATTTTTTGAAAGATATTGTTAAAAGTAAAAAAAAATTTATCTCAAATGCTAATTGATATTTTCAAACGCGGTCTTTTTCATTAAAAAGTTAATACTTTTTTGTATATTTCCTGAAAATTTCATAACATTATACATAAGTACTGTGGAGAATAAATAGTTCATTTTTAGTTTTCAAGATAATATTTTTCAGTTGGTAAAGATTTATTTGATTCTAAATCCAACATATTTGCAATTCACGTCAATTATTTGTGATAGATGTGTGGGATACTCTAGTTCTGTCTCTATAAAGAGTATAAAGGATGCAATCGACTCTTATTGTACAAGTTTATAATAAAAAAAGAAATAACTAAAAGTAGTAATGTTTTAATATACATAAGAGAGGTTTGACCTCAATCAATAAATACGGTATCTTGGCGGGTTTGCGGTAACAGCTACATCAAGATAATAATTCAGGATTATCACAGCAGTAGTAAGTTGTCGCCGATGTACACACAGTTGTAACCGTTGTAATTATTTATAGGGAATACGCCAAAACAGGGTTGTAAATACGTCAAAGTAATGCCGATTTATTGATACGTAAATGGGTGGGTGGTCAAAAAAAAACTTATATGTTCTGGTTTAACTCATAAAATATTCATTTTACTAATCATAAAGATTTCTTAGAAAATGTAAATGAATGAAATGAAGTTACTGGAATGGCTAATTTCGAAGAACTGTCATCTGAAGACAGACCTAGAAGAAGTACGTTTTCTCGTTCACACTCTTTACCGCAATTATCACAACATGATTCCGGATTAGGAAGTTATTATGGGGTTGGTTTTTTGGGATTCGTAACAATTTTTTATTGGTAATTTTTTCAATTAGGGTTCTGGAGGTGATGTTATTCAAGTTAGTAGAGCGGAACGTTTAGTCGCCGATTTACGACAAATCCTCACGCTCAAACAACATTATTATCCGGAAGGGGGATGGGGATGGGTCGTTCTTATCGTTGGCGTTCTCGTTCATATTTTAAGTCAAGGTTTTCTTGCTTCTTACGGGTTATTTTCAACGGAAACTAATAGACATTTCCACGTTCCTTCAAATCAACTTACAGGTATCAATAATCCATTATACAGTTTATAAATTTTGTTTTAAACATTTTTCTTTCAAATTTCCTTTTTTTGTTTCAGGATGGTTGGGTGCTGTTTCAACCGGTGTCGCTTTATTAATATCACCAGTTACGATTGCTTTTTGCAGAAGAAAATCAACGAGAGTTACAGCTGTAATGGGAGGATTAATCACTGCTTTGGGATGTCTTTTTACATCTTTCGCTACACAATTTCATCAATTATTTTTTAGGTAAATAATAATCATTTTTTTTATGTGTAAAAGTACTATACAATATTATATCTATACATATAGTAGCGTCTCGGCCGCGAGTGACCTTGACTTAATTAATCAAAAGGCGGAATCAGCTTTATCACGTTAATTTGTAGATTTTTTTGTTTACGGCCGAGACTCAGTGATTACATCGTACGAAAGCGACCTTGATTATTAATTAATTAATTATCAGAAAGAAAACTAACCTTCTTTTGCGTCGTATCCTCATGAACATTCTTTTACTTTATTCTTCCATAACTGGCGATCTTGTGCTTCCTGAAGTGCACCTTGAAGCGGAGTGTTTGTTATCTTGGTCTTAAACCTTCCACTTTTCCTTCGACTTATAATTTTTCTACATTATCTCCATCTCTTCTGGTTATATGTCCTTTTCATTAAAAAGCTGATACTTTTTTGTACATCTCCTGAAAATTTCATAACGATATCTTTAAAAATCGATTTTTTACGATTTTTTAAAAAGTAATCGAGAAATATCTTAATCTTAACACGTTCAAAAAACATGACAGATTTTAAAAATTGTTATCTCAAAAACTAAATCTTATTTTAAGAAACGATCTTTTTCATTGAAAAGCTTATAATCTGTTTTATAATTGGTGATAATTTCATAATGATTTATTAAAAAATGTATTTTTGACGATTTTTTGAAAAAGATTGTTAAACGTAAAAATTGAAATAATGTAACGTCACCTTTAACAATATTTATTGCAAATACTAATTGATATTTTCAAAAGCGATCTTTTTCATTAAAAAGCTGACACTTTTTTGTATATTTCCTGAAAATTTCATAACGATATCTTTAAAAATCGATTTTTTACGATTTTTTAAAAAGT